CCATGCTGGCCGCCCTAGAAAAAAATCTCTAGAACCGCCACTGCTGCAGAGGGGACTGGTAAGGCCAGTGATAGTTTGTAAGCAGTTTTACTTGTTTCACATGAATTGAAAACTTTAATCAAATGCAGTGTGCATAACATGCAGTTATTCTTCTTACGTCACCATGAAAATGCTGCTGCTGCTTCACAAAATTGGGAAAACTTCAAAACCTTGGAAACAATCAACGTTTTTTCTGAAATGGCAATCGCTCATGGTAATTAACCATTATTAGTTTAATAGCACACAGCCAGTTTCCCCACTAAAGATATGTTTCACCACATTAAACCTGAATCAGCCTGCTAAATGTAAATCTGTCATGTCGGGGGGGAACCTGGGAGGTCTCAGAGTGTGCGGCGGTAGCACATAATGAGCCATTTGAAAGATGCCTTTCGATGGGCATCAAAACGATCGGCGACACACGGTGCGCAGCAGCTGGAGCTGCAGCAATAACAAATGATCCACTTTACTGAAACTGCAAAATAGTTTCAGCTTAAAATAGATGCAATAAATCAGTGTGCAAAACCCAGGAAGAAAAAAACAGAAATCCTATCTGCATTCTAAGATGGGGTGTAGGGTTTTATTGCCTGGTGAAATTTGTTAAAAATGCATATAAAACTGTTCTTTCGGACCGGATAGAAATCCTGGACCCTAAAACCTGACCAGCTCATTTTTAGGCGTTATGGCATCATTAAAATCAAATAAGGATAATCTTTATTTTACAACTAATTTTAAAACTGTTGTTCGATATGAAGAGAAATTTATTCCAGTATCATTGAAAGCAAAAACCCTAGAAGAAAAAGAATTAATAAATAACACTAAATGGGTTAAAGATTGACTTATAATTTGTATGTAAAAGTTTAAACATATTTATACAGTTAATATATAATAATATACAGTTACTTTTTATATAAATTTCGTAAATCTTTTGTTTGAAATTTACAGAAGGTGAGAGCGGTCATTTCCCTCTGAAACATTTTCACAGTAATTTTCTCGAGAAAGTACGTTAGTTTTCTCATTATCTAAAGATAAAGAAAGTTGTTTTCTCCTAATAATGAGATGATTGATTTGTGTTAAAACTCATTAAATCCTTCAATACCACAACAGCGGGAGAGGATTCATAAATCATGGCAGCCTATGTATAATTCTGTAAATAATCCTGTGCTTAACTTTTAGGTAAGACAACGTTGTTGGTTTGATGATTTGTAGTGTTATACCGATAACGATACCAGTATCGGACGGGGTCCCGATACTGCCCTAAAATGGTGGTATCGGTATCGGCAAGGTACCAACATATAGGGCACTGATACCATTTTGAGAGCCATAAGTTTATTCAACTATTGTCACTGACTCCTGGTAGGCAATAAAAAGTTCTACTGGATTCACTTTGTATTAGATTTTTTCCTGCTTCACAAAGGTAGGCAGCAGCTTGACAAAGCCATGATGGCAATTATTTTTACATTATTATGGTATCGGTAGATACTGCACAGCCAGGTATCGGGGCCAAAAATGGCATTGGCACAACATTAATAATTTGTATGATTCATGGGCAATTAGACCTATGCCGCTGGTGCCTTAACACTGGTGTTCTATTTCCTAAACAGCCCCGGTGTTACGCCTTTAACAGGTATAAGATGCATTAACCCCAAAAATAAGTCCAGATTAAAGATTTTCATTAAAAAAAACAGTCAGATTTGTTTCTACTGTATTCCATACAATCTAATCATCCACCATGACCTTACAATGAGTGAAACTAAATAAAAAGGAAAAAAAAAAAAAATGATTTTTTTTTTTGTGCACACGCGATACCGAGACTGCTATTACCGCAGGCATGGATGGACTGGGAATCCAGGGCTGTTGGTCAGCCTCATTCATTACTCATACAGGTTAATCATCTCTTTATCTCAAATCAATAACTGTTAACTAGATAATTAACTTGTTATCTCGAGAAAACAATTAATGGTTTAACCTTGATAACTAGATAGTTATATAATCATCTTGACCACTCTCTGCTTCCGTACAAATTTCATTTTAGCTTTTTAGTTAATTTTTGCTAATTGTATGCTTTTTAAATGCCTTTTTTTTTTTTTTTTACAGATTTCACCCCTAAATTACAGCATATAATAGCATTTCGATTGGTCTGTGTGCAGCTAAAGCAGCCTGTACCTGTGAGACAGCGTTCAATGTAGCGAAGAAAGACTTTTCTCGTCTTGTTTTTCTTTTTTTTTTCTTCTTTTTTTTAAATGCAATGCATTTTTTGTAAATAAATGCCTTAGCTTGTGTGTGAAATTTGATGGAAATAGAGTCAAATCCATGAAAAGCGTTATACTACTGCTGAGATTTTCTTGTACATAAGCAGAAGGTGGATTTTTTGTCCTCTTCAGAGGATCCCCCTTTCAAAGACATAGACAGGTATGGGCTATTGCAGGCTAAAAATTAAGCCAAACGACCCCCATCCCAAAGGTGTGGACCCATTTTACTGTTTCAATTTGCATGTTTTTGAAATAAAAACAAGGCTTTGATGGGCTACTGTATAAACCCTCAAACTCAACGCTATTTCTGACACTTTGTATTGAAAAAGCTTCCTGGATCAAAAGCGGAACGTCTTGAAACTTGCAAAACAAAGTCCAGTTGATTGTTTTTTTTTACTTTTTTGGAATGATAATGGAGTTTGATTTGTTTTTCTTATTTTAAATCTAAACCCTCTTATTCTATTGGCAAATTGTCTTTCTTACTTACTTGCTCAAATAAAAGGAAAAAACACTTATTTAAAAAAAAATCTGACTAACTTAGATTACAATTTTTGCAGTACACAATGAGAGCTTTTAAAAAATACCTAATATATAAAATGTTATTAAAAGTTGCTTTCTTACCAGTACAAAGTGGGCTGAGATAGTTTCCCTAATGGAATTAGAAGTTCATAAATCCATGAAGGAAAAGCTGTAATAGTTGTAAATATTTTTACATCTTCCAGACCCTAATTACCCTCTACAGGCTCAAATGAAACAGCTTCTAAAAACAGTATTTTACTACTTTGGAGAAAAATATGATTTTTATTTTTTTATTTCACTACCTAAAATCAGACATCAGACATGCCCCAATTCATTTTACCGGCACCGACACATTCAGCATTTTAATAACATTTTACATACATAATAGCATTTTGGATTCACAGGCATCTTTGAATACAGTAAACTGTATTGTTTGTAATGAAAATAAAATATCGCATTTTTAGGAAGAGAGAATTAGTGCTAATCTTACTTCAGTATCTTGAGGGGAATAGAGGTGTCCTTGATGGCAACAATGACTCCACCATGGTCCAGATACAGGATGTGATGTTCCTGTTCAAAAACCTTCAAGAACAAACAGTAATGTATGAAAGTTATTTAAAAGCTGAATTAACTGTTTGAGTCTCTCATGAAGGTTCTGCAGGTTCTACTTCAGGGCCGATGGAGGGGGAAGGGAAGCGAGGAAATAAAAAGGAGAAAACTAAGAAAGCATGCTGCACCTGTCTCCATGTCTTCCCACAATCTGATGTGATGTACATCTCCTCCTTATACTCTACCAGTTTGGAGCCGAGGTTTCCTGAGGGAAAGATGAAAAATGCAGAGCTGCATCAGGAAGAGGGGACTCTAGAAACAAACATCAGTAACTAAGGTAGCACAGTAAGAACAAGGCAGAGAGATCCAGGTGTACAGAGGGAATACAAAAGCATAGCTGTACTCGCATAGCATGGAGATTTCAACAAGGCCATTTTTTTATTTATCGGGTTATCTTCCTTACATATAGGCTATTCACTTGGAGCAAATGCAACAGAGTAATCGATTTAAGATGATAAAACATAAATAAAAATGTTTCTTCTCTTAATGTCCATAGTGGAGTGTTTTTATTTTTTTGTTCACACTTGCAAGGCTTTTAAAAGGTGCACTAGGTAACGTTTGTAAAAAAATAAATAAAATAATGATAAAATAAATATCAACTTGCACTGTGTGCTCATAGTAGAATGGGAAAATAATCCTCCCTTGCAACCACTCAGAAAGAACCCCCCACCAGCACAGCATTCATCCAATGCCAATTATTTTTAGGTCTATTGATCCCACATATGTACTATTGATTTTTTGCTATCTTTCTAGGGGGCTGATTCTTACAGGTGAAATTGTTTTTATTTTTCCATTTACATGTTCAAAATGAGAACTATACAGTAGCACCCATTCAAAATGGCCCTTCTGAGTCAAACACCAGCCAAATGGCAGCAGACTCCCCTACAACTCCCAGCAAATTCCCCTCAAACTTCCACACTGGAAAAATGTAAACTGTAAAAATGTCTTAATTTAAGTCTATTTACCCTTAATTTGATTAGGTAAATTAGATAGTTTGCCAATGGAATTTGTGTTTTTTCTCTTAAAAAAAAAATAAAAAAATTAGATAATATGCACTTGAAATAAAACAATGCAATTGTGTTTTCTTATTTTAAGTGTACATTGTCTTGTTTCACTGGCAAAATGTCTCTTTTACCTCCTAAATTTTAAAACAAATGCACTTACTTTAAGAAGAAGAAAGAAATGATCGCCTTTCACTGAATTACACTGGAAAATATCTAATTTTTTCTTTAAATAAGTGCTTTTGTTCTTGAATTGAGGAGGTAAAAGAGACATTTTGCCAATGGAATAAGACAATGTAGATTTAAAATAAGAAAACACAATTGCATTGTCTTATTTCAAGTGCATTTTATCTAATTATCTTATTTTAAGAGTAAAAATACTCATTCCATTGCCAAACTATCTCATTTACCTACTTAAAATAAGGATAAATACACCTAATTTAAGAAATATTTACTTATTTCTAAATCATTTTTGCAGTGTACAGGATCTGACCAGGATATGATGCTTCTTTTTAGATCTTAATGTCCACAAATCATGACAGAAAGAACATTTTAGGACTAAGATTGATGTTTAAAGAAAGGAATTTTAGGCAACCAGCCAATGGCCCATCAAGGAAAGTGGGGAAATTTTGAATGGCTACAACTGTAGCAATGCAAAACACACAAGTCTCAATTTTAACCATGAGTTAATGATGGGTGGAGGGTGCCGCAATGTCAAATCTACTTGCTGATCAGAGAAAACAAGCATGTTGTCCATTCAGCAGTTAAGGTAGGTGCTTCTTGAAGGGGAGATGCAATGATTGCTCTAGGTAGACCTAGCCAGGCAATTATGACAATCTGGACAGGCTAACGGCCAAAAATCACAGAATCCCATTTTGTGTTCGCTCCGACAGAAAATCATGTTGGACGAGGTCATGGCGTTGGATTTTACACAAGGGGGCTTAAGTTGGTCCCACTGAAATAGACTCCAGGTCTCTTTTAGTCGGACTACACAGCAATTCAGCGGCAATTTAATGGGTCTGACGGGAAGAGAGATGCGGTTACAAGGTAAAACACATCTGCTTTGGTGAAAAATCTGTTAATTTGGAATTTGGATTGGCACAGCGCATATATAATAAGCAGGGTAGATCTGTGCAAAAACAATAACCGAAACATTGAAAAACAATACTTTTCGCATGATAGCAGTTCAGGAGGACAGAAAATGGATAAAGTAGTGATCCTCTTTGAGCCACGCAAAAACAGCGAAGGACAGAAAACGCAGTTTATCAATCTCCTTGGAAAAAAAATAACTTCAGGAAGCAAAAAAACGTATATAGAAAATAGCAATCCTCTTTGGGGCCTCACAAAAACAAAATAAGGAGGGGAAGACAGAGCAGGTAAGCGTAGCGTATCTCTCTCATCTCTTTATGAAAAAAAGAAAGAAAAACTTCCCATTCTCTCTGAGAATCACCTCTCTGCCTCACTCAGCATAGAAACAGTCCCACAGCGTTTATTGCTGTTTTTCTTTTTAATCGGATGTAGATCTCTTTATGTTTTTAATATATGTGTATACATTTTAATATATTGATTAAAGTTTTCTATCCAAGGAAAACCAGTTGATTGCATTGATTCATTGACTCAAAGTCAATCCCTCACACTAAGCATGCTTGTAGCGACAGTGGAGAGGAAAAACTCCCTTTTAACAGGAAGAAACCTCCAGCAGAAGCAGACAGAAGCAGACATACAGAAAAAAATAACCCTTTGGTTATGATTTAAGCATTATAAAACAACAACAAACTCAAAAGGATTGATGTGCTTTACTGTACATAGGCCCTTTAGCACAATAAGACATATATTAGTGTTTTAGAACCTACTTTTACATAAATATCTATATTATTCTATTCATATATAAAACCAAATACTTCTCCAGATGTCTTGAGATCTATGAGGATAATTTTTTTGCTGCTGGTTAGAGAACATTCTTGAACACAGCAAGCTGGACAGCCCCAGGCAGAGCAGTGTGTGTATCCATTTATGTGGGATGGCAATATTAAAGGCAGAGCAGAAGTCTAGCATGTGTTTAAATCTGTTCGTACGCTCAGGAGGAGATAAGATAGCAAGACTTCCCACAGTGACTTCCTCCTCTCTGCTTCCTGAGCGCTGTTAACACAGGTCTAGCAGGCAGACTGTTAGAACCTATAATAATGAATTTTAGGGTTAGAAACCTGTGCATGCTACAGCTTTGTGAAGAAACAAAGCAGCAGACTGAGTTTAGAAAAAGGGATTAAAAATATTAAGTAGTCGAAGCTTATCACACAATATTTAGGAGTTATCCCTCCTAAATATCGGGAGAAATAAGCTTCTATTGAGGAGAAAAGACAACCAAAACAAAAACAGCTCTAATAAAATAATATTTCACTCACCTGCACCCATAATGAGACCTGGAGCGGAGTCTTTGGTGTGGACGGTACCAGATACGTAGGGGTTGTCTGCCCAGCGCAGGTGGAGGTGGAGGTGGCAGTCCGGCTGCAGGAAATTAGACACAATGTTCACTTTTACACTGTAAAGAATGAGACTATTACACAGCAGATTACAGTAGCAGCCATTCAAAATGGCCCTTCCCAGTCAAATGCCAGCCGAAAGACAGCCCACTTCCCTTCCCTGCAACTCCCAGCAGAATCTCCCCCGACCTCCAGCCACTGGAGTGACCCCTCCTTCTCCTGGGCATGCATATTTTTTTAATCTGACTCCACCCTTTCACTCAATTACAGAGAGATGATTCTTCCCTCTAAATCTTAATGTCCACAAATCATGAAAGAAAGAATATTTTAGTACAAATATTGATTGTTAGGTAGATTGATGTTTTAAGGAATTGTAGGGGACTAGCCAAGGGCCCATCAAGGAAAGTGGAAAAATTTTTTGAATGGCTAGAGCTGCAATACTCTCAGAAATAGTCAATAAATTGACCTGAAAAACAAACAGAATACTACATTTTGTTCTATTAAATTCAGTTTATTTCTGTTTATTTCCATAGCTCAAATTCACAACACATGTCATCTTAAGGCACTTAACAGTTCACCAGATCATCCAGTCAGATTGATTCAAAGTTTTCTATCTGAGCAAAAAACAGTTGATTGCATCGACTCATTGACTCAAATGCCATCCCTCACACTAAGCATGCTTGTAGCAACAGTGGAGAGGAAAAACTAAATTTTAACAGGAAGGAACCTCCAGCAGAACCAGGCTCAGTGTGAGCGGCCATCTGCCGAGGCCGATTAGGGTTCAAGGAGAACGAAGCAGAAATACAAAAGACAACTGTAAAAGAAGGCCTCATCCAGGAAACACACAGCCAGGCAGATGAGCTCTGAGCCACCACCCATGTCAGAGGATGAAGAGAGCACATCCAGCCAGTCACGGTCAGGGAAACAGGTGTACACTAAAAAAAACAGGCCGATCTCCAACATCTATAATCAATAATCCAACAGTAAATTCTGCCTCTGTCAATCCCTCTTTTTTGGTTAATCTCAGAGCAAATGTTTTAATATTTGCTTGTCTTTATGTTAGAACATATTCTGTATTATTTTTAACATAAAATTTTCTTTACCAGACAATAGGATTAAGCATGTTTGTGCAGAGCACTCCAGAGCCAATCTCAATGGATCTAGCCTAAGAGTTTCTTATGACACACTGCCACGTCAGATAGCGCATCTATCTGCTAAGCCAGCTGGAAGAGGTTGTGACTTGTGGCATTGCACAGGGAGGTATTTATAATGCCAGCACTCCAAATGAAGTCTTCGCTGCACTTGATAGATGCTGCAGCTTAAATCCAGGACAGTAGATATTTTGTGAACCAATTTTATTGAAGTATGGGCAAACGCATTGTTATGACAAGGTCAGTATCGGAGATCTAAATCCGTGTGTGTCCCTTAAAGGTGGTATACGACTGTTGAGCAGATATCTGCTTCTGCCTTCATATTTTCCCAGCTGATGGGAGTGATGGTTCAAATAAAGGGGCACACTGGTTCCCCCCTTCAACTCTCAGCATGGAGTGATGTATGGATCTCAGAATATGGGAGACTCATGGCTCTTTGCTGTCTAACCTTGCACAGATGCAACTTTGACAAGATGGATGGCAGAAGCAGGAAAGCATCTCAAGCACATTCCTCACATCAGAGCACTCATCTTTCTCTCCTTTATGTTCACAGTGGGAACCAAAAAGTCCAAAGATGTTGTTTTTTTTGTTCTTTGTTTATTTGTTATTTTTTACCTACAAATTGTCTAGAATGCAGCAAAAAATACTTCCCTCAGAGATTTTTTCTGCTTTTGTTTTGCTTTTTTAATTTGATTTTCGATTAAGATAATTGGAGGAAATAGAAAAAACACTGTTTTACGTCGTCTTTAGGTAGTAAACGTTTTACCTTTCTTTCTTTCAGTATGAATGACCCCAGCAGCAATGGTCGGGTGTCTTAAGACGACAAACAATGGCTCCTCTTTCGCTGTGGGAGAAATTGCTCTCACTATTCTGTGTGAAATAATTTCAATCAGCAACGTAGAAGAGATACGTTTTCTTGACATAGTAGCTTCATCTAGCCCAGCGCTCTGTTTAGCTATGAAACCATCCGGATTGATGTCAACGCCTCTGATTATAGATGACAGAGTTAGATCTGTTTTTTAAGTGTTTTGTCCTGTTTCCTCTACATCGCTGTGGGTTCAGCTTTAAATGTATTTGCTCTCTTCTATCCCTTTTGACATGAAAAATGGCCCAGATCTCAAATTCTTTGCTAAACAGAGCCACCTATGGAGTTAGATTACTGTTACCTCTAACAAAGACAGTTCTTTTATGTTCCCTTTGGTTATCTGTTTCTGTCACCTTCAACCTCCTCGGCAGAATGCAGCTCATACTGAGCCTGATTTTTTGGGAGGTTTGTTACTTTTCCTGTCCACTGTCGCTGCTGTAGAGTCAACAGCAAAATGCAAGCTACCTGTAGCATTTACTGTCACCGCTTGCTCATCCAGGTGGGGAAAATCCTGCAAAGTCAATGACCTTCTGACTCTACGATCTCATTGAACTGTCTCTATAAAGTTCGTAGAGATACCATGTGCTGTGAATTGGTATTATTAAAATAGAAAAAATGCCAATGCAGTTAATATATTCTCTACTTTGGATATATTAGCACATGGCATGTATATATATCTTTATCAATACTTTGGCACTAAGGTCTTTAATGTGGGGGGTGAGTTGGTCATGAAGGTGGTGTGGGAGGATACAGCTGTTATTTGTGGGTCATCTTAACAAAAGTTAAAAAAAGTTATCATTAATGTTCATAGCTGCATCATTTCCATCAAAACAATAATACATTTAAAATATGTAAATAGTGCTGCAGAATAGAAGTGTTAGTTTTATTCAATGATGATTATAAAATTAATGTGTGCTTATGAAACATTTTTGCAAGGGGATGCTCCACTCCTGTCTCATGATTCACTCAGGAGACCATCCTGCCTTGTCATTCTGATGGAGCATTCTGTCTTTATGAACTGATCAATTGTTCTGTCAGAACAATACTCTGTTTGTAACCATGTGTCATGTTCTGTTAATAAACGCTCTGCAGAGGAGGTCCAGTGGGAGACAGTGTGTTTGAGTCTGGGGTTCAACTGTCTCTCCTGCCTGCAGGAATTGTATCCAGAAATTGTGTATTTCAGTTCTGCTTAAGAAAAAAACCTACATTTTATGAACCCGACAAGAAGTATCAATTTTACCCCAAAACTATTTTTAAATGAGTTTTAAAGGGTCATAAAGATGTGAATATTTACTTCCAGTTATGAGGCCAACATCTACACAAAATTATTTTGGAGGTGTTGCTGGATCTTAGTACAGTAGTAGCCCCCACTTTCATTGATGGGTTCTTGGCTGGTCCCCTGAAATTCCTTTTTAAACATCAACCTTTGCACTAAAATATTCTTTCTGTCATCATTTGTGGACATTATGATCTAAAGAGAAGCATCATCTCCTGTTTCGACCCCTTAATTCAGTAAAAGGGTGGAGTCAGAGTAAAAAAAATATACACATCCAGGAGAAAAAGGGGATCACTCCAGTGGCTGGAAGTTGGAGGGGATATTGCTGGGAGCTGCAGGGAAGTGGGCTGCAATTTAACTGGGAATGACCATTTTAAATGGCTGCTACTGTAGCTCTGAATTTGAGAAATGGCTTTTTCTCTGTGTTATATATCTCATATTTAACACTGAGCGTGAGTGTTGCTGTTTGAGTGTTGGTGCTGAAACAAGGAAGCAACTAGGGTCAGATTGCCACTTTAGTTGAATGTAAGCTAATGCTAACTAAAGGCAAGCAGGCAAGAGGAAGTGTTCCACTAACTGGTCAGCGAGAGGTACTGGTCGCTATAACTTTTTAAACATTTAAGTGTGTTAAAAAGCAAATAGAGATACACAAAACACTATCCTTTACCTAACAAGCTCGTATGATAAGCATTTTTAAAAGACTGTCTTTCAAACCCAAAATGGCAATACTTTATGTTTTCAAAGAAATCACTATTCTCATGTCATGTTTCTTATTTCTTTAACTTTAATAAATGTGTTGTCCTTGTTGTATGTAGCATAACTTAGAAAATATGAAAATAACACATGATTAATCTCTCAAAAAGCCTTTAAATGTTGATGGTTAGGTTTCAAATGGTCTAACAACAACAATCTGTGAGTTTTGTATTAAAGGACAAGTCTAACATGGATTTTAAGTTTGACAAATGAAGCTTCAGTTATAATGGTGTCTGATACACTATAGCTGATAAAGATGGGGTACTCACCACTTTGCAGCTGACTGGTTTACCGTTCATGTCTGTGGTGGGCGGGGCCAAGAGTTCCCAGGTCCGTCCTTTGTTATAAGTTATGAGAGTCGTCACTTTTGCGTCGATTTTCTGATTGGCCAAAAAAACTCCCTTCACACCACGCACCTTGGAAACAAAAGCAGTTTTTTTGTTACAAGCTGAAAACAAAAGCAACATTTTTTATACTGATAAGCAGCAGTGACATATGAGGAAATATGTGTACAGTAGAACTTGTTTACATTCATCTGTATACCCATAGGATGTCTCTCTATCTCTTTAAATTTGTGGCAAAAGTTGGTGAACGTTCGGAAAAGAGTTGGAATAAACAAGTTTATCTGTACAGATAACTGCAGTGGGTAGTGATTAAAGGGATTACAGGGATGGTGTCCCATGAGGCCGCGGGCCTTAAGGCTGCAATCCGGTTTCAGTCCCAGACCAGTATGGTTCTCAGCACAGGTAAATGCAATCTTCAACTGCTTAAAGATCCAAAAATTAGGCAATTAGGGTGATTCACTGCAGCGGAATGGTGCAAAAATCCAAAGTTTCATTTCCTCTCCAGAACACTTCAAAAATAAAGGCTTCAAGTGCCAAAAAAAGATAAGAAATTGAGGAGCCTGGTTCTGCTGGAGGTTTCTTCCTGTTTAAAGGGAGTTTTTCCTCTCCACTGTCGCTACAAGCATGCTTAGTGTGAGGGATTGCCTTCGAGTCAAAGAGTCGATGCAATCAACTGGTTTTCCTTAGATAGAAAATTTTTAATCAATCTGACTGGATGATCTGGTGAACTGTAAAGTGCCTTGAGATGACGTGTTGTGAAATGGCAATATAGAAATAACCTGAATAGAATTTAATATATTATTTGGGGGAATTCTCCTTTTTAACACAACTGCCTATAACATGTGGATAAGACACCATAATCAGAACCCTTGATCAATTATTGTCTAATAATAACTTCAAACAGCGGTTTCCAACCACTGGATGTTATTTGTGTGTTTAGCCGTAGGTTAATAAATATAAAACTGCAAATTGGATACAACTATTTCCCTAAAGATATTGTTCAAAACTCCCCTTATTCTTTTCAACGCTGCATCTTCAGCTGTGTCATCATATTCTGTGAATGTATTGTTTCACCCTGTTTAATGATCCGACTGAACCACACGGTTAAACCGTCTTTATTATCAATGAAGGTAATGGCTGTTCACCTAAGTGCATGGAGTTCGACTAACACGTGAAAAATAGGTTAAGGAAATGAAAATCCTTTTTCTTGATTTTACTTAAATCCAACTGGTTCTGGTCTGAGAGCTACTCCGATAATAAAAGAGTCCCAAAGAGACCAAGTAGCACAGAGGTGGCTTAGGCTTTTAATTGGATTTATTCATAGTAAGAATATTAAAGTGAAGTGCAAACATGATCCTCTTAAGTGTGACTAAGTGGCTCTATTCTTATACCACCATCGAAAAGTGCTGTATGCAAGTTTGATTGCTTTGGATTGTAGAACAAATCAGTACAGGCAGGATTCCCAAAAGTAGAATATTTGTCCCCTGTGTGGATTTGACTCATTTTATGTTTATAGTTACAGAGAGATTAAACAATGACAACAAATGTTTATTATAGATGACCTCACCTCTAGGATATCAATGAGAACATTCTCCTCTGGCTGCTTGGTGCTGCGAACGTTTTCCAGGATCATTGAGTAGTAAACACCTTGGGAGTCTGACTGGTACAGGTTATAGGTGTCGGTCTGGTACCACTCCTGGAGGGCAAGGAGAACTTGGCTCTCGTCTGTGCTCACTATCTGAACATCCTATAGGAGGAAAGACATAAAGGGATGGGAGGGAGAGAACAGAAAACAGTTGAAACATGAAACATTTTCAAATGATTTGATGAAGAGAGGTGTTAGATTTAGGTAAGTAAAGGAACTCCTTGGTGCTTGAATTCATGTAGATTTTTATGGGACTTTTTATGTTTATGGCCTTCATGGTTTCTTTGAGAACTGCAAAAAAAGTTTAAAAAAATGTAGGTATATTTCAAATTACTGACTAAAGTTGAAATAGTCAATGAGAGAAAACAACTGATACCGCTGGCATCAGAATATAATGCTTGACAGAAGGCTGTAATGAGTTGCTGAGTACGAATCCAGTGGATGCGTCCTCCAAAGGCCATATTCATTGGCTGGTTACGTCACAGCCTGTTTGGATTGGATAACTCCTCATTATGTAGCCGATAAATGCAACCTTCTTTTTGCCTATTTTGAGATATATACACATATAAATAAATAAATTAATATATATAAATAACTAAATATATATATACCGTAAATCCTCTAATATAGGACGGGGCCTTTATTCCACTCAGGTGCATCCTGGTCCAGGCCATTATTGGAAGGAGGCCAGAATTAGAGGCAGGCCTCTTTTTCTATTTGATCAAAACAGACGACCAGTGGAATGAATAAAAACAAGATTTTGTGTCTCTTTTAACCTATAAAATACTAGGTTCATTTATTGAAAAAGTACAGTTACCATAAAGGTATACGGAACATTATTGAGACATCTTCCAGCAGCAATTTGTCTGTACGGCAATACGAAAAAAAACAAAAACAGAATGGAATCTTGGCCGAACTGACCTGCGAAACAAAGTTTAAAAAAACAATTATGGAAACTATTCTGCCATCACAGCGAAATTTTATTTGAAGCAGGCTAAGTGGAAGTAGGCTACCAGTATCATATATTTCAAGGGAAATTCAGAACAACGAAGGCCAACGAAATTCTGTCATTTTAACGCTACCTGGTTACCACCAGACCTACCAGATAAACACATTTGTCATTCAGATCAGAATGATTGTGTAAGGTCACTACGATCTCTGTGTAAGGATGGGACTTCCCATGCTAATAGCTTGGATTCATTAGCAAACATTGCCCCCCCCTGCGGTACTTGTATGTTACTATCACAAGTTATTGAGGACTGCCCAGGAACATTGTTGGTTCTAATAATAGCCCCGCCCTATATACCAGCCCGGCCATTATTTACCTCCACCGACAGCGAGACCAGCCATTATTAGAGACCCGCCTGCTAATGGAATACAGGCAAATATTAGAGGATTTATGGTATATGTATATAAAGCAAGAATTTGTTTATGTGCTCATTATACATTATATACATTATTATACATATTATACATTTTTACATATTTATCTTAGAGAAATGAACAACTTATACACAACATCAGTTAACTACCAGAATGGTTTTGTTTAAAGGGAAGAAAGAGGTATAAAACCATTCTAACAATAACATCATTCCATTCACTTCCTTGAAATGATAAAAAGGTTGAATCCACTTATATCACTGATCAATATGGTACTTTTCATATTTGATGACCGTGTAAGCAAGCATCAGTAAATCTGTTCATAATATGCTAATGATACTGATAAAAGCTAATCATAAGAATGACTAATAACACGAGTCAGACTTAAAACAACAGCAGTAATAACCGATGAACTTGTTTTCTTAGTGAAATACTGTAGTAAAAATATATTTTTTTACACTTCGGACATGGCTTCATCTCAATGTTAAACAGTCTCAGAGCCCTACATAAAGATATACAGTACCAAAGCTCCATCTAATAGTTCTGAATTCAAACCTTTTCCTTAAGTTAAGGGTTTTTAAACATGTTTTCCCTGTTAAGACTTTATTTTGGCTTTAAATATTATAATAGCTGATTGCAGTTGTGTTACGTTAGCCGTTTTTCAACGATTTAGATGTAAACTTGTGTGACTCAGCTACTTAACCTTATTTATTACTCTTAATGATAATTTTTGCATTTTTTTTCAAGACTGTAGTGTAGTTTTAACATTTCTCCTGCATACAGTATTAACACCACTAAGGTCAAAATAAACAGTTTAGCATTAGGAAGAGACGGTATAACAAGACTTCCTGAACAAAAGGAGATTTTATCTCCATGAACTTTAAAGTAATGTACTCATTTGATATGCTCTCCATTTAGCTGCATTTAAATTTCTATTAGATTTACCTCTGCCAAACAGCATTTTTGTTTGTGTCAGTCAGGTTTAAAGACAGCTTATTTCCATTAAACAATATTTGTTTTCTCTTTTGGTTGAATATTTTGCAAAATCTTTTTACAAAACCACTGAAACTTTGAATATATTCATTACCACCTGATTAAAGGCTGTGCTATTCTACACGTTGTTCATGAAATCAGTGCTGTGGGTTACAAACCCCCCCCCCCAAAAAAAAAGGAATATAAGAACAGATTTAAAAGTAAAACAAAGAAAATGAAAACAGCAGAGAAAAAAGTAATGAAATCAAAGCAGAAAACATATTATAAACAGTAATAGTCAGAGAAACAATTCTGAAAACAGTGAACGGTGTCAAACTCTGACAAAAAAAGCATTTGACAGCTTAAAAAACTTAAGCATACTTGTCAGAATGCCTGTGAGGAAACAGCTTCATCATTCATGAAATAATGTAACAGCCACAGAAGGGCGACTCAGCACTTTCTCATTGTTACTGATTACATTACCATACCATTTGAAGACAAAACTATCAGAGTGTGGAGGGAAGTGCCTCAGAGGTTGTGTGTAATCATTAACACTCCTCCATCCTGATTACAAAGACACACTCAAGCTCAATTACCTCTGGATTTATTGTCATTCATTGTAATAGAAACACAAAAAGCCGTACATTAATCCTCATATTCATAAGAATAATGTTTCTGATTCAATTAGCAGGCCTTGTTGAAAAATACAGATGACTGAATTATGACAAAAATCAGCAAACTAAGAAAAAGGAGGAACAGACTATTATATTAAACTAAAAATGTTCATATAAGTTTGTAAAAAAAAAACCCCACTAATGATGGTATAAACTCTAGACTTTGATTTGGTCTTTATGATTATAATCCTCATTAGGATTGTCAACTGCAGCCATAAAGGATTAGCGGGATATGAATCAGCATAAAGTAATTTCTCACACAAAAAAATCAGGATAAATGATCAAAACTGTAAAAGTACAAAATGGAGAATAGGATCCCATGGATCATCAGTATGGGTGGAAACTTGTACCACAGAGATAGACTCAATTGAGTTAATTCCTTCCCGCTATGATCGCAAGGCCCTTTACAAGGGAACAGAAGACCCCTCCTATTCAGCCAGGCCAAACATTTCCCTTTAACGACCCCCCTTTCAGAGACATAGACAGGTATGGACCATTGCAGGCTAACAAAGAAGCCAAACGACCCCCATTCCAAAGGGGCGGACCCTTTCGTCCGTTTCATTTTGCATGTTGTCTAAGAAAAAACAAGGCTTTGTTGGGCTATTGTATAAAGGCTGGAACTCAACGCTATTTCAGACATTTGAAATGAAAATGCTTCCTGGATGGGAAGCGAAACGTCTTCAAACTTGTAAACAAAGTTCAGTGGATTGTGTTTTTTTTTTTAAATCTTTTTTGGAATCAGAAATGGAATTTGAATTGTCCTGATTGAATCTGTATCCACGTAATTTGAAATTAAATGCAAAAGTTTAAAAGTGATTTTTACCTTATTAAAATGTCAATCTTTTTTTCATTATTTTTATTTACTTTTAGTTCTCTAATGCAGTTTTTGTTCAGTCTTGTACAGCTTTATGGCAGCCCAAATGAAGGCCATTGGAATCAACAGCCCCCCCATGTGTCACATTGGGATACCCATGTTATTGGGCCATCAGACTGCTTAATGCCACATTACACTCCTCCCCCCACGGACATGGACAATACACGCACCTTAGTTTAGTTTTGTCTTCAATTTAATGTTTCATTTTCAATAACTCTTTAGTGCAATATTTACAGTGCACTTTAAAGGAAAGGGCTTTTTCCTCAGGGTTGTAGGACAACAACTGTATTTCATAGTTAATTACTAACAGTGTTATCCTAAAGGCATTATTTATCATATGGGTGCGTTTGAAGGGCTTCACAAAGCATGATACAGGACATTTCCAAAAAAAAAAACTTTTGTTGGGCTACTGTGTAAAGCCTCGAACTCAACGGTATTTCTGATATTTTTAATTGAAAAAGCTTCCTGGATGGGAAGAAAAATGTCTTCAAACTTGGAAACAAAGTCCAGTGGATTTTTTTTTTTGGAAATGACTATGACCTGAATGACTGAGAATCCAGGGCCAACAGCACTTGACCCCCAGTCTACCAATTGCAATAAGGTACGAACCAAACCAAGGTCCACTTTAAAATTACGCCTACATGTTGTAGTAACTTGTTCAGCCCTGTTTCTTTTTTTT